CCCGGGGCGGAACCCTTTCGTGCACGAGCTGCGACTCAGCGCCCTGCAGAAGGCCCAGGTGGGTGTCCGTCGTGTGCCCAGCCCGCCCCGGGCCCGGGGCCGCGCCGAGGGTCGGGGATGCGCAGCCGGAGGGGGCTGGGAAGGGGACCTTGGGCGCGGCCCAGCCCCGCGGCGCCCCGGGGCCCGCGATCGCCACACTTCCCTGCGACCCGCAGCCTGCATCCGCCGCCGTCCTCGCCCCATCCCCGGTTCCCGTCACCCTGGTTCCCACCGCCAGTGCCCTGGACCTGGCTCCGCATCCCCTTTCCCCAGGTCCCCGCTCCCGGCTCCATGCCCCTCTCCCTGATCTCTGGACCCCGCAGCCCTTTGCCCTGGCCCCTGCACCCCGATGTCGTACCCGCACCCCGGTCGGTCGGCGCCGCGCGCTCTCCTGGTCCCGGCGTCCACTGCCGCCGCGTGCAGGCCCCGCGCGGTACCGGAGCGGCTCCCCCTGGATGTGACTTCGTCACTTGATGCGCTTCGTGTGGGGGGACCTCTTTGGTCACTTGAGTCAGTGCCGGCGGCAGTGGGGTACGGACTGTGGGCTCCCCTGGAGCTGCCGGCAGGACGGTTCTGCATCTTCGGGTTTCCACGTTGTTTCTGGGGGACTCCCTTGGGGGTTAGTCTGCGGCCAGAATCGGTCGCGTCCAGCCTGGTCCAGCCTGGGGCACAGCGCGCAGGCGGCCTGCTTCTGGCACGTTTTATCTGTGGGGTGGTCTGGTCCTGGCTGAGGGACGGCGGCTGCAGGAAGCGGGGCGGCCCCTACACTTGTCCCCTGCCTTCACGGGGCTCCCGACCTGGAGGGGTACTGCTCTGACCTGCTGGGATCTCTGAGCTGACCGTGAGCTGTGTTCGCGTTTCTGTAGGATTGCTCACAGGAGGGCCTTTCTTTGACTCAAAACTATGCATAGAAGCAGGGAAGTTTCGGGTCTTCAGGGGTTGTCTAGCCGGTGGGGCGTACACCTCCAACAACACTTTTTGTGGGAAGATCGGAGTTTTTTAAATGTGTAAAGTAACTCATCTGAAATCATATTAAAGTGAAAAGTTCTTGAAGTCAGTCTAAAACTGGCATTTCCCCAGACGCCTGCCTTTTCTCTAACAGCCCCCTTGGTGGGTCCGGTGGTTGTCAGTGGGGAGCAGAAACGGGCAGAAGACTGGTTGGGGGGGGAGAACGGAGAGCGGCAGCCCCCCTGGAGACACGAAAGGACAGGGCCCGTCCCACCCCGCCCCGCCGTGAGGTCCCCTGGTGCCTCCCCCCTCGTCCTCATTGGCTCACACGCCTCCTTCTCTCCTCCAGGTGGGGCTCACGGTGGCTTCATCTGAGCTCCTGAGTGAGGCCCCGTCACTGTCACACCCCCGCCCCCTGCTTCCAGGGTCTTCCTCCCACTGCTTAGAGCCCTCGGGAGGGGGCTCCCTGGGATGGAGCCCTGAGGCCTTCGGGTGGTTTCCGGCGCCCCCCAGGCCTGTCACCCTTGCTCCCACTGCTGCAGAGCTGTCCCCTTTCTGCTCCTAACCCCTCTCTCCCGGCCCCTCTGCTCCTCCCTCAGGTCTGGGGTGGAGTATCTCCACCAGCAGGAAGCCCCCTGCGCCCTGGAGGGCCTCCTCTGTGTCCCTGTCACACTGGCAGCCCCCGTTGCTGCGGGTGCACGGGGCCGCGGGGTCAGGTCTGTCCTGCCGGGGACCGTGCTCACTGCCCCAGGGGATGGAGGAGCCACACGCAGAGCCAGCTGGCTGTTGAGGGAATGAACGAGCGAAGGGACAGATGTCAGAGCAGAGTCTGAAACCCTGACCCCCTTCAGGTGGGGGTCACAGGGTTGGGAATTGGAGGATCCCAGCTGTGGGCTGTTGTTGCCTCAGCATCTGGATGAGTTCAGAAGAATAGTGTGTGGGGGAAAAACAAAAACAAAAAAACAGGTGGGTGGCATGTTTTCACCTTCCTCCAAGGGAGGGATACTTTGTTTGCACCTTGTTGCAGTGTTTCAGAGGCCGGGTCAGAATAATCTTGGTGTATTTGTAACAGAGTCCTGTTCCTGCCCAGGGGTCTGAGGCCCCAGGTGTAGTCTGTACTCTCCAATTTCCAGTCCGGGTCTGCAGAGGCATTTTGCTTTTTACCAGCAATGTTCTGCAAAGCTTTCCCCCTTTACCATACTTTGTTACGGTAAAGTTTGAGCAGAGCGGACCGGCCTATCGGAGCAAAGAAAGCCCACCTCCCGAAATCAATACAAAAATGGATCCTGCAATGTCTGAGACACCCGGGGGCCGCTCAGAAGCTCACCTAAATTCTGAGTTGAGATAGAACAGTTAAGTGTGCCTATATTTACCTGCTGGCGTTTGCTGTAGGGGAGGGGCTGCTGCGTGTCTGGGGATTAATGACCAGTTGGCCCATCTGCCATTTAACTGCAGCTTTAGTGAGGAGCTTAAGCATCTCTTTGGACAGAAGACAACATGTTAAGACCTGAGAAACCATGAAGAGTGGAATATCACATCGTCACCCTGTGATTTGGAGTCAGGCGGTGGGTCGATGTCACCGGGTGTTTGTGCACTTCCGGCTGGAAGCCACGGGTGTGAGCACATCCCCTCCAGCTCTGGTGCTTTCCCCATTTCTGAAGCCCCTGAACCAGTGTCACCGAGAGTTTACTTCCTGGAGAGCAGCCTGGTTTCCCAAACACCTTGGAACTCAGCCCTCAGAGGGAGAGGCCCTGTGTGCACCCCTCCCCCGGTCCAGTCCTCAGAGAGGATCACAGGAGGGGTGACCCCAGGGACAGACCTGTTGGGCAGCCTGCGTGGAGTCTAATCACCCAGAAGTGGGCCATCTTTTTCTCCAAGTTCTGATCCAAATGCCCGAGTCTGGGGCTCAGTCTGGATGCCGAGTTAGGGGCAGCCGCTCTGGGGCCGGGCGCCCGCGGCCCGCACACTCCCCAGCCACTCAAGGGAAGGCTGCTGTTTACATCCATCGTGGCCCCACATGTACACACACCTGGCCCACCTGCACGCCCTCACGACCCTCACGTCTGCGTGCTCCACGCAGGAGACCCCACAGTGAGCAGCTCTTCATCCAACCCCTCCCACAGCCCCAGCGCTGGGCCTGGTGGCGGGGTCGGGCGGCGGGGGACAGATGAATGGGGAGGTGGCCCGGACTAAAGCCGGTGCTCTTGAGGGGCTGGCGATAATAGAAACTGGGAACAGGAGATGGAGGCCTTCCAGGAGAGCATGTGTCCTGTGGAAGGGGCAGGCTGTGTCCCTGGGGACCTGGGAGGCCAAGGCCCCAGAGTCCCCTTCTGAGGACTACTGAGGACCCGGCAGCGCGGCCCTGGAAGGCAGGTGGCCAGAGGGTCGGGGGCCGTGTCCTCATGTCCGTGTGAAAAAGCCGAGGCTCAGGTCCTGTGCTGCCCCCGGGCCCCGGGCAGCGCGGACTGGCTCAGAGCAGATGTCTGGCCCGCCGCTTCTCTTCCAGCTCACGGGGAGCCTCCTGTAATCTGATCCTAGTGTTCTGGAAGGATGCACGTGTGAAACTTCGGTGAGGAACGAGACGGGGGATTCAAGAGTGCAGGATCCGACTTCTCATTTGTTGCGTTCTTCTGCCCTGAAGTGGGGCGCACACACACGCACGCACGTGCACACAGTCTCCTCTTACACTCGCTTTAATTTCTTAGTGCTGAGCAAAGCACAGTCTTAGTTCTCATTTTTACAAAGCAGGATTTTGTCCCTGAGAGTGGGCCCGGCCCGCCCCGTCCCCGCAGGCCCGGGGACCGTCTGAGGAGGCGCCCTGTGAGTCTCAGCACGGCCTCCAGGAGCCTCTGTCACGAAGCCGGGCCCTGCCCACCTGCCCCCGGGCTGTCACCACACAGCCAGGACAAGGGTCACCATCCCCGCGGGCGGGGCCCGAGCCGACTTCTCGCGGGTTAGGGTTGGTGTTTCCGTGTCCCGTAAACCTTTAGTCTTGCTGTGAGTTATTCTGAAATGAGCCCAGAGGAAAGCGTGTGTTTGGAAATACCCTGTGGAAATGCGGTAGCGGGTTTGTCCTCAAGCCCAAGTCGCCGCTCGGCCGTCAGTGCAAGGTTTGCGGTAATCTGCTCATTCACACGTTCCTGGGTGTTTTGACCACGTTCCAGCCTTGTGGGCCGGGCTGTAACCGTGGCTGAATACCCATTGTCGCCGCGCACACGGCTGCCGGCCTCCGGGCCCCCCTTGGGCACAGCATCCTCGGCGCTCCGCAGGGGTCCTGGATGGGGGCCGAGCCGAGGCGCCTGGGACTGCAGCCTGTGTACCCCTGACTCGTGTTTCCATGTTAGACCCACAGGAGTGAGTTATTTTCCCTAAAAAGTTAGTTGCCACTTAAGAGCTTTTTACACTACATGTTTCACGCTTTTAACCTTTCAGTCCCCTGGAGCTGGCCTCACCTTGCAGGGTCGTGCTCGGGGTCCTGAGGTCTGGCTGGGGAGGACGGGCCACCCGGCAGGCCCTGCTACTCCTTGCCACCCGAGGAGCCCAGGAGCACAGAGCGACCTCAGTGCCCGAGACAGCGGGGATGCCACTGGGCTGGACCAGGCACTGAACGCCCGCCCCAAGGCGGGGGTCTGTTTGCTAGCCCTGGAGGGGTAACAACTGTGTCCCACGTACAGAGCGAGCGACAGAACCTCCTTTCGGGAGCAGCAGATATCTCTGACCAAGAGGGCGGAGCCAGTGGGCCTCATAATCTGCACATCCTCACTGGGTCTCTCCAGCTGGACCCCTGGTCCCCCACCCTGGCTCCCTTCCTTCGGCTGGTTGCTGGCCTGCCACCACCCAGCATGGTGGGGTTGATGTGGGATGTGGAGCCCCTCCGCCCTCCCCCCGGAGTAGCCGGGGCCACTCTGCTTCCAGCCTCCCCGCAGTGCAGTGGCCTCCCCGCAGTGCAGTGGCCTCCCCGCAGTGCAGTGGTCTCCCGCAGTGCAGTGGTCTCCCGCAGTGCAGTGGTCTCCCCGCAGTGCAGTGGTCTCCCGCAGTGCAGTGGTCTCCCGGCTGCCTGTCCTGGCCCTG